CAAGTGCCTTTTTAAATAACTGGTCCAAGTAAACAGTGAACGATGTTGGCGACAAAATGCAACCTTGTCTGAACTTATAATCCCTGTTCTTACAAAACGAAATTTGACACTGCAGGATATTTAACAAGTTATGACCGTTTTTATTTCGATATCGCTATGAAATAACTATCCTGTATATATAGAAGGAATAAATAAATAATTAAAATTTAAAAGGAAAATTCCCAGTAGTTTACCATATACCATAGTTTTAAAAAACTTATTGTGAAGTAAAATTTTTTTTGTAAAATGGTATAAAATTTATTAAAAAATTTTAAAAATAATCAAAAAAATAAGATTATCCAAAGATTCAGACCCTCACCATACAAAAGCTTTTCTTCCTTACATCAAAGGTGTCACTCACAAAATCGACAAAATTCTTAAATCAAGAGGAATAAAGATAATATTTATCTCCTAAAACTTTCATCTCTTGTCCGATCTATCAAAGACAATATTCCAAATAAACAACACGAAGTTTATGAAATTCCTTGTGCAGACTGTCTTCGATCCTATATAGGCCAAACAAATTGTAGAATCCAAAATAGGATTTATGAACATTACATTTCTGTTCGCATTTCCGTATTTTCACAAGTTCGCATTATATTAAAATAATACATTTAGATGAATCAGATCGTTTAATTTGAATATTCTTCAATAATTTATGTCATAAAAATATCAGAAGTAGGTCTACTATCGAAAGAAGTTTAACAAAACTGGTGCTGTAAAATATTTATCCAAATCATAGGTAAAAAAACCAGTAAAGGCGATTACAGCAAGTTCTCAAAAGGTTGTCCGTTTACTTCAATACAACAAGCCATGGGATTTTTAAAACTTTACTGTACATTTTGCAACATCCCCGACTGCTCAATTCTTCTTATCTCGGTGGTAATTCTGTATTTTAATTATTGTATGTTGGCATGTTTTGTTTTATAAATGATGTTATATAAAATGATGATATAAATGATCCCGGGGGCCATTCGATAAAACCGCGCCTTCAAATGCACCTTTTAGGAAACACAATAAATAAATGTTATTCATTTCCTTTAAGACTTTATAAAGGGGAACAACAGTTAAAACAAAGATAACAATAGTTCAACAGTGAAGCATTTGCCGAAATAGTTCGTATAAATTGTCTAAAATTGAATCAACAACAAATGATTGCATACGATACTTTGATAGAAGCTATGAGCAATTCATCTGGTGAAATTTACTTCCTTGATGCTCTGGGATGAACAGAAAAAACATTACTTATTTTATTGTTATTGACAATAATCAGATCGCAAAAATGCTAGCGTATTCATCTGGAATACCTGTAACTTTATTAGAAGGCGAACGAACTGCATATTTCGCCTTATATTAGCATTAAACATACCAATCAAAGAAACATCAGATTGCAATATCGCCAAAACGGTGCAATGGCGAAATTTTATAGGTATGCAAATTAATCTTTTGGGACGAATTTAAATTGACACACAAGAAATCATTACAGGCACTGAATAGAACTTTGAAAAATATTCAACTGTCAAAAACATTTTTGGCGGAACCATGGTTATATTGTCAGACTGTTCCTTATTGAATAATTATGCCCCAATTAACTGCTGCAGACGAACTAAACGCATATCTAACGTCATCTCATTTGTTTCAGCACTTAAAGACACTCCAACTGACAACTAATATGCGAGTGTTTTTGCAAGAAGATCAAAGTGCAATTGTGTTGTCGAAGCAGTTGTTAGATATTGGAAATAGTAAAGTCGCTATTGACACATCGGCCGAGTTCATTTCATACACAGAGATTTCTAGTACTTAACAGACTTATTGAACTTTGACACATTATTTAATTTTACGGCTGTAGAAAGTTCGTCGGATCTTGCTGGTGCTTTAGGTAAACTGTAGAAAGTTCTTCAGGACGAAGTGGTCTGTCATACGGCCAGAACAACAAACATCTGGTTTGAATCCACAATATAAATGTCCTTTCTTGGACTTCTAACAGTACTGACCTTAAGGACGTTGAAACAGTTTAGCATAAAATGAAACAGACACTAACGAATAACCCTTAACGGATATTACACGAACTTTAAGCCAAAATAGAGTAGATTTGCAATCAATTTACCTCTCTACGGGGTAGATCCTAAGTCTAGTAAGTATGCCCAACCTAATTTGAGTTGCCATAGAGTCTAAGGACAATGCTACAAAACATGAGTAAGCATGTTTTGTTTTGTGTTGCTGATTAAACCTACATTATTAGTAATTAACTAATAACATAAAAATGCAATAAAAAATATGACTGAAAAAAAATATAATGTGAACTACATATATGAATTTTGCATGTATTAAAGTTTGTTCTATTATATAGTTGTTATGGTTCGTACACTCACTCACAACATGTGCACGTAGACACCCTCACTTACACACCAATCGCATACACACAAGCGTTCTATTTTCGAGTATCAAAAACATGAATTGTTGATCTTAAACGCTTTACAACTTTTGAACTTAAACTGGTAACCGGTGACGTAGAGTCTGAGCGACTCTTGAGAAATTAAAAACCGGTTTAAAATATTGAAGCGGACGATTCTGGATGGCCTGCAGCTAAGTACCTACCTTTCTAAAGATAGTTCATAAACCAAACGTTTTTGTTTGATTAGTTTACGTTTAGCCGAGAACTGACGTTATTGGAGTCAGCGAGACTCAACGTCACCATTGAAGGTGTTACAGATCCGAAATTTGAAGAGAAAGTGTTACATTGGTTTAATGGTTTGGACTCTGAATATAGTGATATTGATGATATTGACAGTGATGCGGTAATAGAAAGCAGTCATGAGTCGGCATCTGAGCAGTCTGATAGTGAATCTGATCCAGAAGACAATATTTCAGAAACTTTAAACCAAGACTCATCCAGTGATGATGAAAATAATATATTGGCGTCAAGATCTTCAAAATACTTTTATGGCAAAAACAGATTTAAGTGGTCAGCTAGTGCACCAAAAAATATTCGTACTTAAAAGCATAATATTATTGTACATTTACCGGGGCTGAAAGGAAAGGTTCGGTCTCTTGGTCTTTCGGCACCTCCAAAGGAAATTTGGAACTGCTTACAAATCAAATGTTAAATGTTATAGTTAAATGGACAAATGTAAAATTGACGAGGGTCAAATACAAAAATGAAAATAGGCCGGAATTAAAAAATGTCGACCAGGTCAAAATGGAATCATTTTTAGGCTTACTGATTTACACCTCAGTATTTAAGTCCAATGATGAAGACATAGAATGTCTATTTGCTACAGATGAAACGGGCAGAGGAATTTTTCGTTTCGTAATGAATGCCAAGAGATTTGCAGTTTTATTGACTTGTTAACGTTTTGATGACCCTTCCACAAAAGAACAACGAAAAGCGGTAAATCCACTAGCACCATTTCAAGAACTATTTAAATCTTTTATTTAAAACTGTCAAACGGAGTTTTCTGTTGGTGAATATGTATGCATTAATGAAATGTTAGTTGGTTTACAGGGTAGATCACGCTTTAGAATGTATATTCCAAACAAACCACGAAAATATAGACTTAAAATTATGATATTAACAGATGCAAGAAACAATTATGTGTACAATGCGTAGGAATATACAGGCCAAAATTCCGACGAAATGGGCCTTTCAGTAACTGATAAAAAGCTTGCTAAACCTACTCAATCTGTGTTACGGCTTTCTAAGCCATTATTTGCCAGTAATCGTAATGTAACAGTTGTCAATTAGTTCACGTCTATAGAACTAGTTCATTTGTTGAAATCTAATGGCCTAACATATGTGGGAACTATGAAAAAGGTTAAAAGACATAATATTCCTCCTTTCTTCCTCAAAGGCATAGAGAGATTGGTTCAGTTAGATACGGTTTTACAAAAGACATTACCCTTCTATCGTGTTACTAAAAAAACAAAGCCATCATACTAGTATCCTCCATGCATCATAGTACAGCCGTAAATGAAAAAACACAAAAACCAGAAATAATTAGACTGTATAATATGACGAAAGGCAGCGTTGATGCTTTGGATGAAAAATGGACGGTTTACAGTTCGTCCAGAAGAACGCAACATTGGCCAATGGCTATATTTTACAAAATACTAGATATGAGTACAGTTAACGCTTTCGTTATATACCAGTGTTATAGAGAATCCAATCCCTTAGACAGAAAAGATTTTATGAAGGTACTGGTTAAAAGCTTAATTGAAGCACACATGAAACAACGAATGTATAACAGCAGAATGCCGACAAAAATAAGAAAAAACATAAAGAGAATACTGTGCGTGGTTGAATCTCCTTCTATTCAAGAAGATGGGCTAGCAGTTCGAAAATATTGCATCAAAACTTCATAGGAAGACATCTTATTTATGCGTTTGTTGTAAAAAAACCCATTTGCTTGACTTGTTCTCATAAAATATGCAGAAACTGTAACGTTGAAAAGGAATAAAAAAAATAATCCTTTTTTTGTCCTTATTTACCCCCTGCACGTTTCGTTACGTTTAGACTACTAATGATAATTTGTATTACCATAGATTATTCAATATTTGTTATACCTAATATTAAAACCATTTGTACATAATAAATTTAGAAATATTAAAAAAAAATAGGTTTTGCGACGTAACACCGTACTTGATTTATTTGCAACTTTTGATAAAAATGTTAATAATAAGAATAGCTAGTAACAGAAAGAACTAAAAAGGCAATAGAAAAGGCAAAAATGCCTAAAGAACAGATTATTATAAACAATGTGAAAAAATAATATTTTTAAATTTGAATGAGACCAGCATATTTATGATGAGTCCCGGAGACTCCACGTCACCGGTTATGTTCCTAAAATCGGACGTCACCGGTTATGTTCCTAAAATCGGACGTCACCGGTTACGGGATAACGAAGCCTGACTACTTAGTTTAATTGTTTTTAAACATAGTTTAATAATATGTAAATACTTACAGTAAACAAGCTCTAATTACAGGTGAGTGTTTCAAGGCACTGTATTGTCTGACTTGATATTCCTTGCTTGATTTAAAATTTTGTAAAATTCGTCTAGCACTGGAAAGAAAGAAAGTTATATAGGTAACATTTCACATACATATTTTGTTTCTATTTTCAAATTAAAAATCAGTTCATCAACAATTTTTTATTAGATTTTATTATTACGCTCTAAAAATTCCTACATAAAAGTAAGAAAATAAAAAATTCTCATAAATTTTGTTTTTGATGTCTTTATGACTTAAGCAAAAATTCCGTTTTAATCTTGTAAGAATAAAATTGAAAACCACATTTTAATTTGAAAAAAATCAGGATAGCTTTCAAAGTGAATTGCTTAATGCCATTATCTTTGATCAGTTTGATCTCATCACGTATAATATAAAGACTATTGCTCATCATTGATTGGTGATAAAAACAAGTCAAGCGGTTACCTGGGACATTCGAAATCTGAGCTTCTATTGGGCTGCAATTCAGAAGTTTTTGTAGGATCAAAAATATAAAGAGGGTCGGAGTTCAAAAATAAAATTCCAAACCGTCGAAAAAGGCCTGTTACGTCTTCAAGTTATTAATTTTCATATAACTGAAAAACAAGTATCCACTGTAAATAAAATTCATAAGAGATTTGTTAAACAATTTTAGGCGAAGAAAAAACAGCAAATAATAGAAAACTTTAATGGAAAGAAATATGGTTAGAGCTTGTTTAGCAGCACTAAAAAATTATGATGAAACGCTAAATGTAGATTTCACTTTTAATTTTATTCAAAAATTGTTCTTTGAAGTTCATTTAATCATTTTCCGTAGAAGAGTGGAAACCATTATAGACAAAGTGAAAATTATTGAGGATAATTTCATTTCAAAGGAGCCATTATTTGATGCTGCCGTAGAATCATGTCTTATTATTTATTTAGGTAAATATTCTGATAAGGAAGTTATTATCAGACAGATACTAATGAAAGCAATGAGGATTTGATTTAATTTCATATTATATTTTTTATTATGACCCCATGCTTTTTATATATAAATACTCAGCATACAAAGAAGTGGTCAACATTTATAAAAACCATGGCAACCCTATAATGTAAGTAAATAAGTAGCGAATTCTTCATCATCCCTCTTATTGCACACAGCTCATGTCTATTGCTATTCTGGGCGTACAGTAATAGAAACCCCTCACTTTATTCAGGACATATTTGGTATGGCAAAAGATGTCGAGTAAAAATTACGAGGTCAGAATTAGGGACAATAAATTCAAAGTACCATTAAAATTCCAGAAGGGAAATGTTAGATCAGATACGTAATTGACCATGAAGGAAGCGAGAATAAACTGGATGATTTTGAATATCTGATATTTCCCATCAATGTTTAGAGAAACACACTTGTCTGGTGTCTCTTGTGGATATGAATTCATTAACATAAGATGCATTCGATGCAAAAATAACGTAATACTGCACGAAAATAATAATGAGAAGGATAAATAGTTTATTAAGCGAATAATTTGACAGAACATAGGGGGAAAAATAACCAATTGGACTAAAAATAATATCCCTGTAGAAGTGTGAACACCCTTAGTAGAAATAGGATTAAGTTAATTAACTGGATTGTTTAATGGAATTATGGAAGTGGAACGAATGTCAGATGAATGGAGAAGCAGTATCTTAGACGGTCAAGTCAACGGTATAGAAACTATACGCAACAAAATTAGTTATTGTTCTGAGGCTATTTTCTTGTGGCATTGTAAATTAATTACTATTATAACTGGGAATAAGCCACAATTAAAGATAAAAATACGTTTATTGACGTTTCAATTTCCAATTCGGAAATCGTTCTCAAAATACAAACAGTAAATTTACTGTTTGTAATATAAACTTTATTAAAGGTATTTTATAACAAAATTCAGAAGTATTGATTTATTTATTTATTTTTCTCTAATTGCATGGAGTAATTGCGTTAAATCAGAATTGCGCAGTTGATTGTAAAATGCGATTGTCTCGAAAACTGTTGAGTTTTGAAGTTATTAACAGGTATACGTTTTTTTGATAAAATAATGTATCTTTAATATTTTTTACCAAAAATACCGGTAACTTGAAGAGAAAAAAAAGTTAAGTGCAAATGAATGCCACGTATGCGGCATATGTGGCGCCCTTTATTAGCTATACCAAAGTATGAAACAAATTATAATTCCTGATATTGAATAGTAGCCAGTTGTAAATTTTTATACATAAATGTTTACAAACATGAAAGTTATAGCGAAAAATAAAATTTTAAATTTCCACTTTAACGCCCTGTATCTTTTTTAATATCAACATTTTATCAAAGCAAGTTGGCTTAAATCGTAATATTTTTTAAAGTGTAGAATCTGCGGTTTCTTTGGATACAATTACTTAAGGACCACCCTGTATATAACCTGAGATATATATTTATGCAGAAATGTAATTAAGGAAGCCGAAGCACAGTGATAAAGGCAAATAAAATGATGGTGATTATAAATGTATTATTAGTGAGGGGGCCCAACCGGCCCTTACTCTGCTATTATAGTACAAATACTTTTCTCAATTTAAAATATTCATGTCCTTTTTATTCTACAATACTGATTTTAGATTGAAACTTATGTTTTCAGACATAAATTGAATCCATTATAACATAAAATTCGCTGTTTCCGAAACGGTTTTAGTTGTTGTTTAATCTTTGCCAGAAAGATATTCGGGTGACCCGTTTACTTTTACAAAATATGAGCATTTATTGCGACGCATCTTTGTAAGGAATAACAACATAATTATTAATATTATTGGCTGAAAAACTCAGTACTTAGTTAGATTGACTAGAAAAATATCAGAACTAACAGAAATAGCTAGATTCTAAACTCAATGAATCTATCATTGGTAATATTTTCTCCACAACCATTCTCAAAATTATTCTTACTACATAACTCTAATAACATCTGTCTGTACAAATATCTGTTATAAAAAATATAACTGAAAATATTTCCAATGCACCAGTTTGTAATTTAAACATCATCCGGGAAGTTATCAGAAATTATATACAGATGGTTCAAAAATGGGCGAAAAAGTCAGATATGATATATTCTACCCCCAACAAAGAAAAAAAACTTTTTGACAAAAGTAAAAATAGGTTAAAACAAAAAATAGTTGGTTACAAGACTAACTCGTCATTAGTATCCTAATCAGATGAATTAAACAATAAAATTGCTATTAATTTTTTTTTTCTAAACCCTCAGTTACTATTATTATAAAACTGCCCTTTGCTTGGTGTTTAAAGACAAGACTAACGACTTCCTAGTGTTAGCGACTGATCATAAATATTTCTTTTATTGCTGCAGTAGCCCTCAACAAGAATAAGTATAATAAGAATAAGAATTCCAGGTCCAGGTACAGTCCGGTACAATATCTTCAACCGAGAAACAATTAAATGGCACCCCAAAAGGGTCCATTCTGAGTCGAACGTTATTTTTAATTGCTATGAATGACATCTTAAAAGACTTAAAGAAACCAATTGTAGCTAGACTTTACGGAAATGACATGATCATGTTTATCAAAGGAAAATATATTAGCACTATGGCCCAAAGTCTTCAGCAATGCATAACATCCTTTGAACGTCGGTCTGTAATGTTTGGATACAATTTTTCTTCAATCGAAACAAACTGCATATTATTCTCAAAAAGAAACATAACAGAACTGCAATTACCACCAATATTTCTATACAACCACAAACTAAACTATACTTCACATATAAATTTTCTGTGTATGATATTCGACGAACTTCTACCATGGAAAAATCATATTGAAAGTCTAACTCTTTCATGCCCACAGGACTTAAATGTACTAAGATGCTAAGCAAATAAGTCTTGGGATATGATGATCTGATGCTACTAAATATATACAAAAATCTTAATTACTGTGTTGCAAATATCTGCTCGCCCTTCAATATTAAAATGCCTAGATACTATATATATATATATATATATATATATATATATATATATATATATATATATATATATATATATATATATTTAAATATAGAAATTAACTGGGACCGCGTTGTTCCATGTCTTATGACAGATTCATCAGCATCGTCGAATTTCTCTTTAACAACACTTACTTTTCTTTTAATGGTAAATTCTATCAACAAACTTTCGGTACCCTATGGGAGCAAAGATTTCTTCTATCATTGCAACTTACGTTATGGATTAAAAAGAACTACTTGAATTGTCAGCGCATGCGTTCTGAGAAAACAGAACCTCACATTTAAACTTTATAATAATCAAAAATTTAGTTATTGCCGACAATTCAAAGAATTACTTCCTTTTAAATGTAGTTACATTGTGTTTTTCGATTAACCTTGGGTAAATATTTGCGTTGTAAGTTCAAAGCTACCATACATTTCCAACGTTAAAAAAAAACTTTTTTTGAACATAGTAACAAAAAACACCACTATGTTGTTACTAGCTAAGTTTTATAACATCCTAACTCGACAATTCTAGTTACGGTAAGACCAATAATGTTTTTTAATAGATAATATATGGTAGCTAATTATAATTTATTCTCTTTCAGCCCTGAAGAAGCCAAATTAATTCTCTTTGACGAAAACATTCCGCGAAACAATTGATACTCATTAGAGTTTTTCTTGCAGATTTCCACAATATTTAAGAGTTTACTATATATACAGGGTGGTCCTTAAGTAATTGTACAAAAAGAAACCGCAGATTCTATACTTTAAAATATTACGATTTAAGCCAACTTGCTTTAATAAAATGTTGATATTAAAAAAGATACAGGGTGTTAAAGTGGAAATTTAAAATTTTATTTTTCGCTATAACTTTCATGTTTGTAAACGTTTATATACAAAAATTTACAGCTGCGTACTATTTAATATCTGGAATTATAATTTGATGAATACTTTGATATAGCTAATAGAGGGCGCCACATATGCCACATACGTGGCATAAATTTGCACTTAACTTTTTTGTTCTTTAAGTTACCGGTATTTAAAATAAAAAATATTAAAGATACATTATTTTAACAAAAAAAAGGTAAACTTGT